TTTTTAGCTCTGCTGAGATTGAGTGATGGGACACAATCCCAGAGGGTTGTGTTAACGCTTTTCTTGACAGATGTTTTAAAAGTTACTTCGCCATATGTATGGATTTATGGGCAGCTACCTAGTTACTGACCGTCAAAATGCCTGTTCTGCAATACTGAAAGAAGACCCAAGAAATTTTTAGAGACAGATTTTTCTCTATGTGTGTGTCTGCGTGTGTACATGCACATGTCACCATGTTCATTAATCTGGAGGGGAACTTTCTATTGAAATAAAAAAAATAAGTAAAATGAAGCAAAGGGAACTCGGAGCAGTGCAATTGCCTTGCTCTCTCTAGCAGAATGGGGAGACTTGTACAATGCAAGCCTGTGGAAAATGATAACAATGTATTATTTCTTTGATATATAGTTCCCCCCGAAACGCTCTGCAGATATTCTGACTGCAGAATCAATCTGTGCAAGGTATGAAGTAGAAGCATTGGTATGTACAATTAGAGGCAATTGTTGGGGTCAATAACAGTTGTGCAATGTTACCAGTGAAGTTTTAGTAGATTTATTATGGATGGGCAGATCCCAAACTAGTCTTTTCCGAGCTTGCAAACGCACAGCTGACGGGTCTGCAACAGGATATTTACAAGTTGTTAATATCCTGTTTACAAAAACCATGTAAACAATCGAAGGCCATTACCCAGAGGCTCCGATGTTATTCAGATCTACATAAAAGACAATCCCGACATTTGCAATGCAGCTGGCAACTCTGATGATATGTGACATGGTTAATGCATATGGTAATCAAAACTGCCCCAATGTAATCAAATGCATGCTGCAATGTGCAGTGCATTGCGTAAGAATGCTCTAGAAGAGAGAACCTACAGGCTTCCATAAAGACCTCCTTTCCAGTTCGGTTAACCTATGTGTTAACCTTCAAAATGATTGATCTGGAACGATGGGCAATTAGCTTTGTATACAGCAGCCTTTCCTGGAAATCGCTTTTCTACGCCATGAATGGGAATGTTAGGAGGAGAAGAAGCAGGGAAGGGTTAGGAAGCTGGGATGGAGGCAAAAGAGACTGTGTTCTGCACAGGTTGTCATTTCTGACATGTTTCACCTAGGCACATGCCAACTCCTCTGCTAACTTAATGGTCTTTATTTTGGTTCTGATCTCAGGTTGCTTATATGCCTAGCTGGGCAGGATAGATTAATCTGGGTGTGGAACTGGAACACGTGTGCATTATATATAAAGGAGTGACCTCTGCCACAGGCATGCATCAAGTCAGTGGCCAAACATCTCTCATCCTGGGCATCTAATGTGAAACCTCTATTTGGAGTCTTCTGTAAAAACTGGTCTTCAGGGATTCCTGTTTTCTGCAAAAGTCCTTAGGGGGCTGCTGTTATTTAGGAGTTGAATTAGATTCAGAGGTCTAACTCGTGTTTGGCAACTTTGGCTAACGTTTCCCTCAGTAGACTCCACTCTTCCTCACTCCTTTCCCAATACATACCACACCTGGCATTTCACCCTTAGCTTCAGTTCACATTGAAATTACCTTAGCCTTTTCCACAGCCGCCTTTTTCATGTATAAAGGGCATTCCCTACATTCCCCAGCTGCAGGAGTATTAAGAGCTGCCAGCTATAAGTTTATGATGTTCTTAATTTAATAACCAGCACCAATCTGATTAAACCCAGCCCTGACCTTTGTCTTGTCCCACTCCCTTTACACCCCTGCACTCAGAGAATCATAAAGGAAATCTCCTGCATCTCTTAAATAGCATCAAGCTGCAGGAAACAGCCTGGCAGAGGGGGCAGGTCTGTAGATGCCAACCAGAGGAGTTATCCATGGAAGTGTCACGGTCAGCTGACCAGGCTGTAGGCATCTCACCCTCAGGGCTTTCAGTTGACAGTTGCAGATTCCTCTCCTCCCATCTCCCACGCACACAACAAGCTACTGGCACCCTCCCTGCCCATGGGTGGAGAGGTGGGGACCTGTGGAGTAGGCCCAGGCCTTTGTTCTCCCTAGGCCCTCTCCAAACCCACAACTCCTTGCAAAGGGAACAGAGCAAACATGCAGTGTCTGAACAATTCCTTTACTTGGAGAGGAAACTAGACCGGGCTTCCAAGACTGACTGTGGGACAACTGGCTCTGACCAGAAAATTGAGGTCTGTCTCCTTTCCTGGGGGTTGGCAGCAGCCACACCTGCCAAGGGTGGGAGGAAGAATCGATGTCTTGGGCAGATGGTGTCCACATGTGATGGAAATACCTCTGCCCTTTTCAGCTCCACAGATGTCTACAGTCTTTCCCCACAGCTGCATGTTAGTACCTAGCCTATGGCTAAACTAGCTGATCCCTTTCTTCAGTCTGTGACTTCGAGACCGTCTCTCTAGGGAGGCTGGATACTACAAGTGATGTTCAGACCATGAATGGGAGGGGAAGGTGACCGAAAGATGATTTCGGATACTCTTGTTCATTCCCAAACCAAACCGTGGAGGTTTCAGCATACCATGTGACCCCCTAGTTGGCTCTCGAGAGTTGGTATACCAAGTTCACTGGAGACCAAAGAATAGGAAATATTATAGAGGAAGGTTGGGCCCATGCTGCAAAAATACAGAAAGATCTTAAGTGTTGCAACTGCAAAGCTACTTTATCTTTCTAGTTGAATTTCACTAGAGAGTGAGCGTGATATGAATGGGCTGGCTCCTACCTAATGTGAACTTATTACGACTCTCATAGCTCAACCCAAGGGAGCGCCACGCTGTATTTTTGCTCAAGTTGTAGGGGAGCTTCATTGCAGACCCCAATGTCCTAGTTTGAAATATGACTGTAGCGATGAGTTGAGCACCCATGTTTATAGGTTCCCTGGGGCAGACTGTCTCATCACCTCTGCATGACAACAGCCAGCGCAATAAAGGCCTGATCCTGACTGCCTTTTTTTTTTTTTTTTTTTTGGTCACTGCAGTAATAGTAATGATTAACAGTAATTACAAGAGCAATAGGAGTGTCCCATGATGCTAGTGGATGGGGGAATTCCACTAACTGCATCTGCTGCTGTGCCTAGCGCTCGTTACCAGGCCAAACAAATACAATGTGGACCTGTACCTTTTTCCTAGATTCTGTTTCTGGAATGTGTGTTGGCGAAGCTGGTTTCAGGTGAATTGTTGTTTACTCCATCGTCCCCAATGACTCGTTCCTCATGTTGAGAGTGCCCCAGCTCCTGATGCGCTGTTCAGTGCATGGCCAGCATGAAAATGGCAGTCTGAGTCAAAAGGCAAAATGTGGAGTCTGTAGCAGGCTGAAGTCCCAGTGGCAATACAGGACTAGGAGCATATGACAAGATGTAGCTTGATGCTGCTTTTTTCCGGGATAGTAGGCCAAGCGCAGGAACTCTGGGGCTGGGAAATAGCCCACACCTCAGGCTTTCTTTCTCTCCCTTCCCTGCTTTCATCCCCTCACCCCTGCATCAGTGAAAGAGTATGAAATGTTCCTGTCAAGAAAAGCCAAAGGGATTGAGGCCATCTCAGCTGAAGCCTGAATAACTCACTGGTCAGCTGAGTGCCTCGGTTCCCAACAGGAGAAGGTGAGGAGGCAGAGGGCTCTGCTGAGCACATGGATGTGGCATGCCCTGTTTAGGCGTTAGCGTAGGCCTTACAAGGCTGGCTCTAGTTTAGTCTGAGGCAGGCTATTTCCCTCTCTCTGAGACTGGCAAGGAAGGCTCCTGTACAGAGTATCTTCCACTTGTATTCCCCATACTAGTGCCAGCTGTCCAGATGCAAGGTACATGAGAGGAAAGGAAGGTAGTGGTGGAGAGCCCACAGCCAGGACTGACTGCTGCTGTGGTGAAAGCCCGACAGAAGTGGGTGAGTGTCTGCTGAGTCACACCAGTCCCTACAGTGGTGGTTCCTGCCATCATTTCACTGTCCAGAGATGGATGTTGTTCTCAAGGCAGAGCTGCTGAGTGGAAGCACCACATGGTCAGCTGCCAGGAATATGCCTTCACGTAACGATTTGTTTGCTTATTGTTAAAAATAAAATGCATTTAGGTCACAAGAAAGGCAATTCAAAAGGATAACAAGTATGCTTATTGGAGCCATTACTGTAGGTATGCACTAAATTAGAGTTTTGAAACCGGAGGAAGGGAGCAAACAAGTCAAAACACCTGAATGGACCACAGCTTAATACCTGCTCAAATCAGTCAGCTCCATGCATCTTACTTTTGGGGGATCCAGTCTGAGAACAGAGCTGTCTAGACTCTGCAGCTCTGTTGGTTATATTAGCCACCTGTCAGGGGGTCTAAGTGCTGCGTGCAACCAGCTGTATGCATGATGAACCTTCACAGAGGGCAATCATCATCATATTTGCATGTGGTTATATCTTCCTGTGGTTAAAATACACCCCGCTGGAGAAATGCAGTCAAGAGAAAGTACACAGCCCTGTTTTTGGAAGGCCATTTTAGCCAATGCAATCTCAGAACAATGCAAAATACTGTTGAGATGAATTTGTGAGATCTGAAGACGTATTGACGAACAGGACAGAAGGCAAGCCTGACAGTTAAAGGGCTGGCGTTCTTTTTCCGGCTTTGCTTGCCACCTGCTACATGCTGTGAGGAAAGCCATTTTCTTCCACCCTGGTCCCTCTCATCTTAACAAAGGAATCCTTTAGAGGAAGGAGAGGCAATTGCTAGATATATGGGCAGTGATACATAGGAGGGACTTAGCTTGAGAACACCCTTTATAGGAGTACAAATGAAATGTTTGCACAGGTTCATTAAGAAGGAGGTAAAAGCAGAAAAAGGCTACAGAACCCCTTGGAGGCTGAGAAATCATTCCTCATGGAGCACTGAGGTGTAATTAGGAAAGGGAAAACACCAGCTGAACATTACAAAGCTCTTCATTGCCAGCAAGATGTGTTGGGTCATTCAGGAGTTGCCCAGGGGAGAGTAATGAAAACTTCATACAAGCCAGCAGAATGAAGTTTTAAAAACTGCCCTGTAGGGGAAAAGCAGCATGAACTGGCAGATTTGTTTGCCTTTTCATTTCCATCTTCTGAGACACACTGGGATGAATGGGAATTTGCTCCTTTTCTTTTTGAATTTCTGGTTAATGCTGAGCCAGTGATTTGGCTAAGAAATCAGTGCATTTGACTTCTTGTTTTTTTTTGTTTTGTTTTGTTTAACAGCGAAAGATCTGTGTTGTCCAATAGTTTCGTCTTTACTCTTCATTTACAGGAAGAGGTCAGCCACTTTCAGCCTTGGGGCAGCATTTTAAACTCTCATAGTTTACAGTAAAGCCTGGCTGTTTAAGAGCATCGGGCCTAATTCATACCTCACATATGTGACAGATTTGAAGCTGACCTCTATGTGGTATAAGTTTGCCACGAGGTGTTTCCTTATTCTGTGCCCTCCAGACTAACTCATCTATGCATCCCAGTTGAACATACTCCCTTCTTAGGGCATTTGTGGTCACGTGCCAGTCCCCTGCTCTTTGCTATTTAAGATTTTCATACTTAGTACTGATCTTCTGTAATTCAAATACAAATGTTGTCAAGTGTGTTGCAGTCCACTTAGCCTACCCTTCTTTCCAGAGAACTTCATGAGGATCCCTCATACCCTGCAGTGAAAACTTGCTGTAATTGAAAATTTGACTTATACATGATGTACTGAAGTATGTGTTCATGCTGTTTGAAAAACGCTGGCTGGTTGTCCAGGAATGTATGAATATGTTACTTTTCGTTGCCTTTTTTGTGTGAAGAAGTCCAATGCTTCACTGAAATGCTAGGTATGATTTTGTTGCAGTTTCAAAAATATTTTCTAACAAAAGGAGGTGGTTTTTGGAAATAGATGCCGTTCTTAACAGACAAAGAAGAGAAAATCCATTCCCAGTATGGCAACACATACAACTAGATGCAAGTCCTACAGAAAGCAGCTGAAGTAAGTAGTAGATACCTGTCTTTGATAGATTTAGTTGTTTAAAAATGTATACATGAAGAGACAGTTCATTACTGTGAATGCAGCTGTCGTCTTTCGCAGGAAATAACTGTGAGGGAAACTGTTCTCAAGCATAGAAAAATGTACATTTGACCTGTATTTTTCCTTTCTAAGTGAGAAGAGGTATTTTTCTGTATGAAATCCTCTATACTGTCAGTGACAGATAAGCCAATAGACCAAGTCCAGTGAGTACCCTTGAAATTTTCACTGCTTTGAATCTGCTGCTCTGTCTGAAAAGAACAAAGAGAAATACTTCTGACATTAAGAGGGGATTAAGCACAAAACGGACCTGAGTTGAGGCCGTTCACGTTTTAAATAGAGTTTTTCTTTCAAGATGGTTATTAAACCATCCTGAGTTAGTAACAGCAAGTCTTTTGCACAAATTCTTACGGTATATGGAAATATCTTCATCACACACTGTAAAGAAGAAGATTCTGAAACGTCAAAGCATTCTGGGGGCTACTGGCTTGTCTGATGCTAAATGGTATAAATCCATCATTGACTTGAGTTGGGTGTGGCAGTTTACCCCAGCTAAAATTCAGGCCACTAGCAGAAATACACCCATGATGCTCTATTGCCCAATTAGTGTTACCTTTCAGCATTGTACAGACATGTCACTCCATACTCAGACCTGTGGGATGCAATGAATCTGACTTACTATGAATCCTTTAGTGCAGGAAGGTACTACTCATTATAAATAGCCACTTGGAAAACTGGCTCTTACAATGTGTATCAGCCGTGTTCAGAGGCAACCTCTACGTGGAGGATGGAGAAAGGATGGTGAAATCGGTAAGTGGGGATGCCTGCTGAGAAATTACATGCTGTGAGAGGAAGAAAATCACACAAAGATGAAGCAAAGATGTTTATATGATAATTGTTTTCCATATGTTTAAAATCTTGCCAGAGGAAATTCCAACTGATTGATCCAACTGTGTCAAGAGTTACATGGTATTTGGATATCAGTACAAGACTGTAATTAAATGCTTTCTTTCAGAGGATAAATCATGCAGGAATTTAAGGGTGAAATTTATTATGACGTCCTAAGTGTGTAGAAGTTCTGTAGTGATGCTGCTTTTGTGGCATCCTGAAAAATCCCCACTTAGAGAAATGCGTTACTAATCGTTGCAGTTCTTTTCTTTGCTCAATGTGATCCCCGGAAAAGCAGATGATAACATTCTTAAAAAGGGAGATCAGCCCAAACAGAGAAGCAGCACAGTCATGTGACATCAGAAAAGCTATCATCTGCTAACATTAAAGCAGCAACAGGGTTGTCTGGGGGTCAGCCAGGGCCCTAACGCTAAAGGAAAAAAAAATAAAGAGCTTGGAAAAAGATTCAGGCTCTATTATGTCCCACTTACTTGCAGAATACCAGCTTATAACGCTACTGGCATCCTGATCTTTATTACACCGATCTTGCCAACTCTCATACCAATTTGATAATTAACAGATTGCGTCAATATATAATTCCATAGTAACACTGTTTTTTTCATTTTTCAGTATCGCTGCACTTCTGTAGGACCTCTTTGCCTAAGAAAGCTTCTCTGAAATAAGATGGAGGATGATTTGTAAGTACCATAGCTATTCCAGAACTCCCTGAGTTAATGTGTTTATTACTTTGGACCAGGAATCTGAACCTGGAAATATTCTGCAGGATGTTTTATAGTTAATCTTTTTGTATCAATAGCCCCTTATAAAACAGAGAAACTATGGGTACTTGAGTCATCAGCTATTAAAGTGCACCTCGCTAACACTCACATTCCTTACACAGCAAGATAGGCTTATCAGTTCTGCAATAAATTGGGTACCTCCTTGCCTTTTCTGATGATTTGGAAAAAGGTAAAGCAGACAAGTAAGTTTTTTGCTTTAAAAAGATAAGAAATAGTCACTGTTTTTGAGCAACTTGTTCAGATGGGAGACCTTATATTTCAGGGAAATCCCTAAAGTAGGGATTTGGGGGCGGTGGTATCTCTCAGATGTCAGATTACGGGATGGGAGCCACTGCAGAACGAGGCCTTGCCTAATGCATTAATAGAGCACACAGGTTTCAGCAAGATGCATGAAAGGCATAAAAAAACGCGGTGGGAATTAGTAGACTAACGTCTAGACAACTGAAGGAACTGTTGATGCTACAAACTGCCCATGCTACTGGGCTGTGATGAAGCCAAGGACTCAAGGGGCAAGGAGGCTTTAGCAGCCTCTGAGCTTGAGGCTGTCACTGCTGGTTGCGGTCTCTGAGTGAGGTGCATTCCTGTGGCCTGTGCTGGAACTTAATGGACCATTTCAGCCCCTGGTGCTGAGGTTTCCTGGCACCAAGATGCTTGTGCCAAGGGTCACTTTAGAAATGCCAGTAGATGGGAGATTAGAAGGGACAGCATGTTTCCGGTTGCCAGCCCAGCCCTCTTTTCTTAACCTTGGTTTATGTGTGAGCAGTGTTCATGGCCATGTGACAGCCCCGCAGCACTTCCTTTGCAGAGCGGACGCGAGCGGGGTCTGCCCTGCTGCCGTGAAGCCTCACGCCGTTACGCCTGGCACTGGTGAATTTAGGGCAAACAGAAGCTAATGCTGCCGAGGCTGTGCAGTCAGTCACGGGAATCTATCGATCGCCCCAGGAAGTCGCGGGTGCAAGTGCCACGGCTGGGTTCCTTTCAACGGACAGGTAATTTTATGGCCGCGAATGACATTTGCAGCAATGTTAGCCAAAATAAGGATAAAGCACGTGTTCCCGAGTGGCAGCCAACAGCCGCAGGGGTTGGAAAGGAATTCATCCTCCCCCTGTTGGGCAGTGCACCTCACACTCGGTGCCCAGCACCGAGGCCCAGACCTGCCCTTCGTACCCCAGCAGAGGGAGGAGGGGTGCGGGGATCGCCTCTATCGGGCAGCTGGGGCCAGCCCCCAGCGGGGCCCCGGCAGCCACCGGAGGCGGCGCAGCCTG